GACTGAAAAGATTTTATTAATGATATTTAATTTGTTCAGAATATGATGCACTGGCCACCATGAAGACTGAGATAAACGATTGAGATCTGAGGGTCAGCCCTGACGATCGAGGCGGTTTATCTATCCGAAATGTTGGTATCTACCTACAAGTCAACAACGCGTTATTACCCAGAAGACCAACAACGAAAGGTGATGAACTTTCTGGTTCCAGAAAAGTGCAGGAAGTTTTTTGGTCAAATGAACGAAAGCAATGATCAATCAGTTGATGCCATAATTGAGGTTTTCTCTGAGAATGAACCATCAAATATACTTTGTGGACAAAATGCAAAATATCGCCAACTGTTAAATTACGTGGTACATACAGATCCCATTACGCTTTAATATTTCAATTATAAAACAAAGTAACTGTTTAGGAGTTAGCCCAGTATTTTACAGTGGAGGCTGTTCTATCATCACAAATTCTAGGAATATTAAACGCAATAAATATTTTGCGTATGTGTGTTTTGTTAGTGGCATATTATGCAGGTTTATTCGCATGTAGGGGAATATTATGTGTTAATTCAATAAAATCATTCAGGGAAAGGTCAGGGGGTTTGCAGGTTTATCGCTTCCAGCGGATATTTTGGAAAGGTAATTTAATTACTATTACATAATGTGTCTTGGACGTGCACAATTTAAACAAAATTCTTTTATCGAATTCGTTGTGATAAAAGCGTACAATCAGGAGAACAATCGCAGAGGTTATAGCATTCACACGCTGTTGGAAAACATACATCACACAAAATGTATGTCTACATACACGCAATGCAGTAACTTCAAAATCTTTTTGCAAGATTTGAAGTTCTTGAGGTGGCATCACGATGACGATGTTCTTGGCGCCGTGTAAACTTCCCTGTAGATGCCACCGTTTTGGAGAAACATACCGTCTCCATCTTCAGGGCTGAATAACCCGCGTGTATACGTGGCGTTAAAACGCAGAACATTATCAATATATTTAATATGAGAATACAGAAATGCTTCATGACAATCATTGGAAACAGATGTTGGGCAAACATCCAAAAAAGGAACAATGCGTTCAAAACGTAATGAAGAGGGCCGAGTAACTAGCTGAACGATGTAGGAGGCGTCTACACGTCATTAGTGGAACAATCGGTTACTTTTGTCAGTTTTACAGTGTATGTTCTTTTTTTCCCATATCTTTCTTTCCCATTCATTTCCTTATTTGTCAGATGACTGGGGAGACTAACATTAGATGACAGTTCTCTGTCTTGTCTCCATATTCATGTCTTCTGACTTATTTCATTCTCTCTACTTCCCATAAACTAAAGGAAATGTTCCCCGAAACAGGACGTCAACATTTCAACATTCGCGGAAGAAGAATTTATGATGCCTGAAGCTAGTGAAAGAGCAAACCGGAGGACACACAAAGCAGCCACCATTAAACAACTTAGCAGTCCGCAGACAGCAGGGGTAGACAATCTGTGTCTGAAAAGAAAATGGCTTGGTTTGCATGTTACGTATCACTTTGTTCAGATTAAAATCAATACAAAAAGAATACACGTTATACCACATAGTAAACCTATTTAACAAACTGTAATGAATCGATGCTGTTTCCATAAGTTCCCTGAGCTGCCTTAGCCTTCAATACAGTGAAGAAATTAACATGCTCCAACATATAAAAAACAAAAATATGTCGTACGTTCCACATTTGTATGATTCAGAGTAAACATTTACCTCACTGTTAACCTACGCCCTCAAAACACGAAAAACAGTTTGACTAATTAAACTGTGCGAATACCAGACAAAAACGAATTTGCAAAAACAAAACCAGCAATTTTTGTATGAGTATGGTTTCCTGTACAACAAGAATATGGAGATGACATAAGATCATAATGAGTGATTTGCTCTCTTTTCCTACTCTTCTCGTTCTTCTTCGTCTCATATCCTATCGTTTCCTGCTTGTGTTCATTCTTCAGCACACTGTGTATTACTGTCGCAAAAATAAACACCGAAATGTTGAAGAGTACTCAACAGTCAGAATTACGAGATTCAACGTCAGTGGTCATGACGAGACGAGAAAGAAGTTTTCTGACCAGAACAATTCTGAGCTTTTTTTAAACATTAGACAATAAATAAATTATTAGTATGTAAAAGTAGTTAACCGTGTAACCAACATTCCACAAACATTTGAAATTCATTGTGAAAATGAGACTTCATATCATACATAGAAGAGACAGCAAAAGTTTCATAAACAATAATTAAATATCTAAAATGATGAATGAACTGTGGTATTCCAGTAGGCCTGTGTCAGCACAAAATAAAACGTAACTTCAAAGCAGAACTCGAATGTAAGCCCAAACAATATCGTACGGCTGAGGGCAAGGCTTAATACTTGTCTCTCAAAGCTCTGACATTTCCTATAATAAAGATTCAAAATACAGATGGGGACAGTTTAAGCACAAACAGAATTCATATTTCCATCACAAGTAGAATATGAGAAATGAGACAACATGTCAAAACGCAATATAATATTCCCGTAAACGTCCATAAAAGAAAAAAACAACAAACGGACTTGGTTTCTACAACATCCGCTACAAGTTGGCGTCTCATACCATTATACCCGTATGTTAATTCCTGTACCCAACTGAAGAAGCAAATAACTCTCGTAGAGTTCCCGCATTTCCAGAGTGGAGTTTATATCAGATGTCCTTTCTTACATCTGTCTTCCTCCGCTCATTACTTCTATCTTCTAAATACTGTTATTGTGTTCCATGGGCGGTCGGTTCATCAGTGTCGTTGTCGACCGGGGTTTAGATATATGCGAGAGATAGTAAGATTTTCAGAAGACAGCCATCTTCAGACTCGCCGCCGTGAAAACCTCAAATACTACGTAGTAAGATTTTCATCATCGGCATAAAGTTTAAACAGGTTCTGGGACCTACAGTGTCTCATGTCAGTTTTTAAATTACATACGTGATGAGAGGAAAAAGACGGCCAGAGCGTAAGATACTAAATTACGTCATAACATCCATCTAGTATTAAAACGACGCTTTAAATTTCAACTCTCCTATCAGTTTAACACAAGAGAATTAATATCAAGATATTTTATCATTGATAGGTACATACCGGTTTTATGTAACATCTTATAATAAACAAACTGTTAGATAATTTTCCTAAAGTAGAGAAAATATCTGAGGATGGTATAAACAAATATGATTAACTATAACGGCTTTGATACTGACTTCAACAAATATCTGACAGCTCTAATTAATTAATTTATATAAAACAAGAAAGTTTATTCGTTCCGGTCATAGCTTTACATTAACTCTAATAGTGCTGTCCTTTTCAGACGTGCACAACTTCGCCAGTTGACAGCATCAGTGCGTTTATAATCTGACGCCACGTAACGTACATAAACCTCAGAAGAGTTTAAACACATCTGCACTGCATGTTTTCCCTGTTTCAACCAAACGCGAACGCTGATAGAGTAGCAGACGGAACTAGATCCATTTTTAAAACAGCACATACCAGAAGAATCGAATAACTTTCATTATCACTGGGTTTGGATATCACAATTTGATGTGACGAAACATCGTTCAGGATGGTGTACTCAAATCTCCATAAAGAAACATTCAGGCACGCGTAATTTTAGGACGTTACTGTATTATCAGAGAACCTGCAGGTAGGCCGAACGCTGCTGTTGTGCTGGCACACCGCTACACATTCGGGTTGCTCTACTTAGTATCTTGACTGGAAGGCCGGTCGAGTTACTTTCAATAAGCTACAACTTCAAAGCACACCCAAAAGGCTATTCATCACAATCTTGAGCGTTTTTCATTAATTAACTCTTCCCACTTTGTCAGTGAAACCCCGTCGTTGAATAGACCAATTTGCATTTATGAATTCCACTGTAGGGGCCTATATATACGTCTGTCCGTGGGACTCAGCATGCACAAACACTATATACAGTTCTGTGCCGATTTCATGCTTGGCAAATGCTTGCTTCAAGCTAGCACCGTGGGTCACTACGGGTCGATATAGAAACCAAGGTCATGTGGCGAAAAGTGAGACTAGGGATCCCACTGTTATATTTATCAGCCAGACACTGACATCACCACTCAGGTGTAGATAACCGCTGGCCTATGTCGGCTTCTGCAAAGACCAGCTTCTAAATGGGGTCAGGGTAAGAATTTTTACCCGCGTGGATAATCAGCGGCAAGCTCTAAAAGCAAAATAATCTTCATATATATGTATCAGAATTCGTACCCAGACAGTGTTTGTGTTTTGTGACCTCTGTACCTGTAAAATCCTCCGAGAAGAGAGCAATTTTGGTATCAGAGCTGTTGTTTTATCATCTTTGATCCACCAGCCTTCATTCAACTAGTTTTCAATAGATAAAAGACGATCTTCACAAGAACTCGGAAACCGGAACACAAGTTTCAGAGATGTGGCATCTGTTCACGTATTCTATCCGCCGAAACTTTGGTCTTGGTGCAATTAATTTTCCGTGATTCACTTTCGAGTTATATAAACCGCTCAAGGACAATTTTTGTGTTTCTCACCTTTGTACCTGTGTGTTCCTCGCAAATGCTACATACTGGTTTTGTTGTTACATTGCCGATTTGCCTAAAAAAACTTCGCTGTCGTCGTGGCAACACCAGATTTTGTAACAAATGACTACACTTTGTCTAATTTTCAGCGACCAAAAATCATACAATCTCCAGCAGACCTCCTATCCCTCTGGCTCGGTGACATAATCACAACACTGCCGAATGGCTACAGTGGCTCTTCTGAATATGTATTATTTTTTAATCAGATATGACTATGGCTATGACTTTTCGTCTATGATTACACACTTCACATTTCCCGGTTTCACCTTCAATAACTGACACAGTTGATCCACTACGATTACTTTCAGCCAATATCCCTCTTAATATCGTCATTCGACGTCTCCACGTAACAGATCTCGGGAGGTCCGACAGGTTTAACTGTTCACTTACCGTACTCAACATCACCACCATTTCTGCATCACTGACACGACCTCAGCGACGGACCAAAGCTCTCCGACCTGACGGATGACCGCAAGAGTGGACTGGAATAAAGAGAATAAAACAATAGATGAAAGGTGGACCAATTCCAGTGTTCTCCAAACGCACTGTTTGAGTTTTGATTATAGTATTGGTATTTATGCGCATTTATAACAGATACAAATGTCATCTTCCATTGTTGCCGAACTAATTACATTACGGACAACACAGTGCACAGTCATCAATTATTAGACCATATTTCCACGAATTCCGTCTGTAATACAAGTTGAACATTGGAGACCTATATTTCACGTAACGTACGGCAACAATTTTCAGTGTAATTATAAAGTTTGGTTCAAGTTTCAAGAAAAACAAACGCTCCTATCGATACTACAGCGGCCAATATCATATTCTCCAGACTGTAGTGTAAGTCCCCACTAAAAATGTCGATATAATCGCACGATAGTTCCGTGCATGGAATGTGGACGGACAGGTAGATGAAGAGACAATTCTCCATCATGTGTAAATCGTATGTAACAAATCTGAAAGCTCCTACAAAACATATACAAAACTTACAACAATGGCTAGATAATACTATCAGCAGAAATTTACGAACACTAGGGATACTTGCAATAATATAAACCTTGTAAACTTGAACCATGAACGTAACAAATGAGGTTAATGCCAGTGAGTCTGAACTACAAACACTCTTTTACGCTTCGATGCGACACAAGTGAAGACAGAGTGATTAAACATTACAAGTCTTCCTGTTACAGTGACTTTTTTGTGTGTTTTTATTAAAACCATTAAGAAGCCACGCCAATACATAGCATTGGAGAATTACCCTCAGGCTTGAAACTGTCCACAGCTTCACTGAGTGTAAACCTTAACTGTATGTGGGTGGATGGTTTCATCCAGCTATACAAAAACAATCGGGTAGTTCCACAAAACTACGACAAACTAGTGAAATATCAGGTACAATAGAAAGCAGGCAAAGATAATTCAATGCGTACAAATTTTCGGAACATAAAACAAACAAGGGACTTTATATTCTGTCATTTACCGCATAAAAATTAACACAGATCATAAAAATAAAACACATTCGCAAAAACTTTCTTAACATTCAAGAGCGCAAATCGTAATGAACAAATATGCATGAATCGACTTTTATCTGTTGATGAATTTATTATAATGATTTCTGCATATAATTCAAGGGCAATTTTAAAATTTCCTTGGAAAACTTACAATTGAGAAATTGTATTTCACTGTCTGGATGACCCGGTTAATGTATGTTTTTCCATTTCTTAATTTTAAATTAAGAATTCAGAAGAATCAAGTAAATACAGTTCATCAAATTGTTGTTCGCCGTACAGAATAATTACTTTAATTATATTCAGCTACTAAATTTAAGGTCACATATCCATGTATTTAGGGGTCCGCAGTGGCCGCGCGGTCTGAGGCGTGGGCCTTGTGCCGCTTGGTCGCAGGGACCGTGGGTTCGAATCCCACTGAAGCCATGGATGTTTGTCCGCGTTTTTCTGTGTTGTGCTGTCCTGTGTGCAGGTAGAGGCCTTGCGATGGGCCGATCCCTCATCCAAGGAGTCCTACCGAATGTCTTTAGATCAAGCCAACGAAAAGTTGGGACCCGCAGTGCTCAGGCACTTGAAGAACGGGTCGTTAACAGTATCCATGTATTTAGTGGCGACGACTTCAACCTCTAACAAATTATTTCAAGTACCCTGCAAGGTACACGTTTCTGTACCTTCGGGGCTTGGTCTTGGAAGACGGTTATTTTATTCAACACGTACAACAGCAATTACCAACACACGGTAATAACTATAGAAGTGACTTTACCGAAACATTCAGGACTGTACGTACTCTCTCACGAAAGAACAACTGGTAAATGATGTAGGACAGCAACAGAGATTATTATTAATGAAATTCTCGTACACGTCCTACATCGTATTCAATGAAACTGCAAAGTTGCGTCGTGAGGTGGCACTACAGAACGTTAGTGCTATTTCCAGTCCTACTTCTGAGATGCGTATGACGCAACACACACACAAAGAAAAGGTTAAAAGGAAGAAAACGGAATGTTAGACGACACAAAAACCTGAAACTTTCAACAGTTTATGATAGACTCGACTATTTCCTTTTCCCAGTCAAGGCAAAGAAAAACAGTTAATTTAAACATTAAATAACAAAGGAATACTTAAGCTGTTTTGAATATGCAGTATGCGTCCTCAGAGCCCTACGAAGAAGCTATAGTACTCTTTTCCAGTCCATTAATGATTCAAAATCCTTTAGCTCTTTTACGAAGTACTTTGCATGCAAGCCTCGGACTAGAAGCGCTGCTTATTACGGAAACAATTTTTCCTCGATTGGGTTAATATCAGTTTTTTTTTTAAACTGTGGTTGGAGTCACCAAATTACGGAGGATGAGATGGGCGTGGCATACGGTACAAATGAGAGATGTGGACAGCATTTTAAACGTTAGTCGAAGAGCCTAATGGGAAGAAACCACTTGGAAAGTTATAAGTGTATATGGGAGGATAATATTAAAATTGTCTGAGATGTGAAATGGATTCATCTGGCTCAGAACATAGTCCACTGACGAGCACGTTAAATATCGCAGATTGCGAGGCTTCTGCCGACAAAAATGTAAAGCCTACATAGTGCAGCGATTTTAAGCTGTAACATTTGTTTGAATTTGAAATTTTACTGGATGTATGCTTACGGTTAGCTAACAGAGGCACAACCCTTCGATAAGCTTCTGTTCAGTAGAGATCGAGTTTAAAAGTAATGCATGGCGATGAAATTGTCATATTATTACGAACGTTACGCCAGTAGCAAAAAGAAACGGATCCTAAGATTTGACGGTCAATAAAAATGGAGATCATGTTGACATGATTAATTGAAATCATTGGCTAGTTATATAAGCACAAGGCATACCTGACGTTTTAAATCCCACCCTAACGTTAATCTGGTGACGTTCGAATTTCATGTGACTGCTTAACTGTGTGCCAAAAGAAACAGCATCAATCTCTGTCACACACACACACACACACACACACAGCTATACACGTGTATCAGAATGCTCTTTCAGAGGTTCTGCTGACCAACATTTTTTTAGATATCAGGAGTAAAAATTTAGGCTGGGTTGAGCACTAAGAAAATACCAAGTAAAAACCATCAGACACTTCCGATGTCCCTCAACATACACCATTTACAATTATCCACACATCACAGACGGAACAAAATAACTTCTATGTTTGATACACCGTCTTCTTTCAGTTTCTAGCTGTCAGACTGGCTACGATGAAGAAACATTTTGATTTGGAGCAGAATTTCCATTCTCTCAAGATTTTAGGATAACAATGATAACTGTAAGAACGTACTTTCGTAAAATCCGAACCACGGCAGGGGTCAAATCGCTGACATTGTTAGGGGTGTGGGAAGGAGAAGACGTGGGCTCCGTCGAAAAACTCGCACTGGGTAGGATTAGTCCAGAATCCTGTAAAGATGACCTTACACGAGGAGAATCAGGTGCCGATATAACACATTTATATGAATACTGCAATATAACCATAAATATGAAACAGATGTCGAGCGAGCGAGCGAGCGAATGGTCTTTTAACAAGCGAAGACCATCGATGCAACTTTGCAATACACGACAGAATTCAATTACCATTAAACGTGCAACAATAAAAGCATTATCGGCAACAATGAAAATGACATAGAGAACAATGATCCACTGATTTCACAGAATTTAAATATCAAATTATTTGGTTCGTTTCTAACAACAAGAGAACGAGAGGCATGATGTCAGAATCTCACGACGGCGATCTGAAGACGACTGTCTTTAGAAATGTTGGGCCATGCAGTCTGGTACAAGTTTACCAATGCTTTAGATGTGCTTGTCATGTTTCGTGTCATAACGGTTAACATTCTAGACGGCTGAATGACTAGCCTATGTGATATTGCGCCGTGAGCAGAGGACAAGACTGGAATTTAACCGCAACGCCAACTTGCAGGCATGTGAGTAACACACGAAACGTGGCATACATCGCATAACCACAAACGTTAAGTTCTCACGGACAACGCTGTACACGGCTTTCAATGTGAGTGTGGAACACTGGCGGCGATATGAGTTCCAGGTTTTATTCGTATAACTCAATCCGACCCGACCCAATAACCACAGAACGTTTGACGAATCAGTTTAATCGGCCAGTGATTCGTACCACTGCCTCAAGGTGAACACAATAATGTGTCACTGCAATGAAACAGCAGCGGAAAAAATGTCAACAGCACAGTTGTGCCAGCAGTATTAACATTTGGACTTTGGCATACTCACATCTGCACAACTGAGCTGGTTTGTAAACAAGAAAATTTTTGTTCGCCAATAATTGATAAGTTTTGGTCATTATATGCGATTTCCTAAAACGACCACACATTCATCAGGACGGCTTACCGATCTAAGAACTGGGGGAATACAACAAAAATACAAAAACTTTAATAATCAGCATAAATAAGAAAACTGATGCATTTAGGTGCATACATTTCTTCTAGTTAATATAGGAAATTAACTTTAATAAGCTTTCTTTACAAATGCAAAATGTCTGGCTCCTTTCAAAAACTGAAACCGAACCCTACTGATTTTCTCATAACAGTTTTAAACGCTGCAAAGTAAAACATTAAATTTGATCAACATGCGCTGTGATCCCAAACATTTGCATTTCGTCGAAAGCTCAGTTCTTCATTTCCCTATTTATTTTGAAAGTATAATAAGAAAAAACAGAATTTGGCAAAGTGCCATGTTATTAATAATGTTTTAACATTGCTGGGGGCATTATCCGATCCGCCCCATGCGATTTATTTGTACACCCCTGCTCTACTTAGAAACAACCTGTGAAAAAGAACACGACACATCATGTAGTTCCAATATTGACCAGCCAACAGGTGCTGGCATCAGATAGGCGGCACTTAACAATAAGACTAGCGTCGCGACGCAATACTCAGCAACATCTGATATCACGCACTCCCACGCCCAAACCCACATTCATCC